GCTTTACGAGTGAATTTGCTCCGCTAGAGATCGTAGATCTCGACAGCGACGACGAGTACGATCCGTTATTTGACGACGACCCTCCACCTCGCAAGAAAAAAGGCAAGGAAAAGGCGGTCACCCCCAAGACCCTCAAGACCGTGTGTGCAATGTGCAAGGATCCGCTGGTGATGGGTGCGACGACCGAGGACCGGCGAAACTATGCCCTACGATGTGGTCACATTGTGGACGGCAAATGCCTATGGAACATTGCCAAGCCAGCTGGTGCTCAGGAGCCGGAAACGATGGAAGCTGAGCGTACCTTTGAATTTACGTTCACACCCCCAGAGGCCTACCAAGAGGAGAATGACCCCGAGCCCATGCAAAGAAACGAAAATCCCCTCCCCTCCCGCGATATCGTCCCCGTCCCCGACCGTTCAAGACGTCGACGCCGGCATCAGCCATCGGCGCTAGACGATATTGACGATCAACCCATCCCCGGTCCCTCCACCGCCCCTCAACTGGACCTCTCTGACCCCTTTTTCCCCACTCTCCGTGAACCCATCTCCAACCGTAAAAAGACGCGACGAAATGGTCGAAATGAGACCAAACTCAAGAGCCGCAAGGTACCCAAGTCCAGAGGGAAACTCCGCGAAGAATTGTTTGAATGGACATGTCCCGTTCCTGACTGTGGGCGGCAACACCTCAGTGTGCGTCTTCTTATGGAGGGTGCAAAGTGGAAATGCGACCCAGAGAAGGGAGCCGTCTTGATGTTTGTATAGCTCTATTTACATGTATGTAATGACTGCCATATCGAAAGACCCAAATCCTTTCAAAATGCATAAACACCAGGGTCCCACTCTAATCGTACAATTCATAGTCATCGCGGTTGCCAGACCTCGCAGCTCCAATAAACCGTCTCCAGTCTCAATCCTGCAAAGTATCCCCTTGATACCGTCTCTTCGGCTTCCTTTGATTCCTGGTAGATGCACCCCTCAATGGAATTACACTATCCATTATCAAGTGCTTTCCGGGTCTCATTCTTCTGAACCATTTACCGGGCGCGTCTCTAAAGTCAACATCAAGTTCCCAAATCTCCATATATCCTGGCGAGAACTAAATGGTGATATGACTCGGCACCCTTCCAAGATATCGGTGGCAGATGCTCGGAGACCTATTCTCTCTGAGCAAGTTTAATGGTACTGTTGCCGCCAGGACATATGAATCATCCTGAAAGGCTACGATTTGCACGTGTAGATATCCTGTTGAGGATCTTTCCCCATTGATGAGGTACTCGGGGAATACGGATCCCGAAATCGTAAAGAGGAGCTGTGAACCCATGAGTAGGGAGTCGTCAAATAACGGATCGTACTCGTCGTCGCTGTCGAGATCTACGATCTCTAGCGGAGCAAATTCACTCGTAAAGC